AGGGACTCTGTGGTTGAGCTCCTGGAGCAGCTCATGGTGTCTTCAGGGTGTGGGGCCAGCGTTTGGCCGTTCAGACCGGAGGTCGGGTCACATCCCACAGGTATGTCCACTTCCCAGGCCGCAAGCTGCTCAGAGGCCGCCCAGGTGTCCCTCCAGTTCTTGAGAACCAGCTGAGGACAGGACACGGGCCCTCAGTGTTGTCCTGGCTGTTGGCCTCGCAGTGGCGACGGCAGGGTGTCGAGGCCGGATGCGGACAGAGCGGGCACTGCGTCTGGAAGCAGGACTCCCCCTGGACCCAGTGTTTGTCCCAGGCCTCCAGCCGATGGACGAGGCCCCGCACACCCTGTCGAGGGGACCTCGCTGCCTTGGCCCGGCCCCCTGACTGCACCTGCAGACTGCATCGACAACCCCCCTGGGGCCGCAGGTGACCGGGTTTGATGACGCGACAGAGCACGATGGCTACGCCGGTCCACGCAGAGGAGTGCCCTCGCTGACCTGCCCCGGCCGGCCAGCAGCGGGCATTGGTGACCGCCGGCACAGGGGCGCCTGCTGGGAGCTGCCCTGTCCTGCAGAGGAGTCCAGGCTTCACGTGGAGACTCCCCTGCCTTGGCGAGTCCAGCCCCTGCACTCCAGCAGGAGCTGCTCCAGACTGCCCAACAGGGCGCCAGGCCCGGTTTCCAGCAGTGTCGCCCACCAGCAGATGAAGTCCTGTCATCTGGGCTTTGCTGAGGACTGCGAATTTAAGTGAGAATGCTTATCTTACACATTCTTTAAGATTATTCTCAGCTGAATATGAAAGGCTTTGTCCTCTGCATCACAAAGGTGGCCCCTGGGCCTGGGCACAGGATGCAGTATGTCAGCCAGTTGTGCACCTGTGTGCCTGCAGTACACTTCCCTCGGAGTGTCCTCTTTAAGTAGCCATGTTCCCAGGGTTTTATCCCTGGAAAATGTTGATGGTCCCAACATGAGTTTCACTGCTATATTACACACCAAGAACCAAGGGTTTCAAAGTATCTTAAAAACAACTCTAAAGCTCCAGCCTAAATTATTTTTAAAATCATTTCCATGTGCAATATAATAATAGGTTTTAAAACTTGCGAGAATTTTGGTAAGGAGAATTAACTACTCAAAGCTTAAAGAAGTGGGTTTCACTTAGAAAATTCCAGTTACTAAAGTCACAACTTTTGATTTATTGAGCATTTTATTGGTAAAGAGAAAATGCTATTTAAGAAATCATGGCTTCTAATCTTGAGATTCCACAGAAAATGCAGCTTACAAGTTCTAGAGCAAAGTGCACCTCTGAGCACCTTCCTGTGGCACAGTTGTGCTGTTGTGACCTGTTTTCAAAGGAAACTTTCAGCATTCGCCTCATCAACATCTCTTATAGTCCAATCCCTGGAAGGTGGACATAGGTCCATCTTCTTGATATTCCATTTTGCAGGCGTTGTAGTTCTTAAGTAATGGTTGCTTCATTACTGTGGACTACTCTAAAGGACATTTGGAAATGAAGTTGGAAGTTTTGGGGATAACCTGCACTTTTAAGACATCAAGAAATCTGGCCGGTCGGGCAGACCTGGAGGTTTTGCCTGGTTAGTACAACTGTGGTGTGTGGTGTTGACTTACCTCCCATCTGGGATGGCATTAAACTGAGGAAATAGAACATGCTTACAGGCTTGTCACACGGCTTTTCCTCTGTTTGCTTCTATATACCACAGAAATGGTATAGCTCAGATGAAAGTTAAACTAGGGTACTTTACTCCAGTCCATCGCACTCTTCCAGTGTAAATTAGGTGTGTCTATCAGAAACAAGTGCATAAGCATGTTACTGATCATGTTTCTGTCCTGTGTTGGCAGTAGAAAGACCAGTGTCAGATTGTCCAGAACACGCTGAATCTATCTGGATGCCACTGGATGGAGCTCAGTTAGTTTTGTGGATGGAACTCAACCAACCCACTGTAGGGAAGTCCCCAGGGAGGGAGGACAGAATGTGGCACAGAGGCATCCTGAAACCAGACTCTGACATTCCTGGAGTCTGGAGGCAGATGGCTTGGTTGACTCGTGTTCTGTAGGTTCTAGGAAGCAGCCTAAGTAGTGACAGCAGATTGCTAACAGACAGAGCAAGCCTGTGTGTCCTCAAGCAGACTGGCAGATAGTTGGCTTTGTGGGATTGTGGTGCCTCATGAAAGAACCAGGATGTTGAGGTAAAGTTCAGGGATGGAGTACCAGCAGCTAGGGCAGGAAGGGCTGGCTGGAGGTTACACAGACCATGTCCTGCTGAACACCATGGGACCAGCAGTTTGTGTCTCAGATTCAACAGAAGTCTTATAGACGACAGTCTGTGTGCCACCACTAGCTAGTGTGGCATGGGACACAGTCTCGGGACTTGCTCATACTGAGAACCTACACATGCGGAGACCACCGTGTCTGAACTTTTCTTCAGAACGTGCAGTGATCAGATGTGGCAGATATTGCATTTGCTGCAGCAGCCACCTGCCAGCAGTGATGCTCTTGACATTGGGAGGCTCAGAGGTTGCCATCTGAATTCTTCAGGAGGCTTGACCTCTGTTAAGGTTAACAGCACTGTGAAAATCTTCACCCTGATGAAGCCCGCACCACTCACTATTGCCGCCCAGGCCTCACAGGCTGCTCCTCTACTCTCCCCTGCATCTTCTGAATATGCTCTCTGTGGTCAGCCAGCTCCCCTGGAGCTTCCCATTCCCCTGAGTGTGTGTTACACCTTCCAGCCTGGCTGATACATGTCTCAAATGGTGGGTATTTGGGGTCTCCCAGTCCACAAACCTCAGTCATGAGGTGGGATTGGGATAGGAATTCAAAGTTGGTTTAATTTGAAAATCAGCCAGTCATTTACCATATTAGCAACATAAAAGAAAAGATGTATATGATTATCTCAGTAGACACAGATAAAGCATTTGACAAAACTCAACATCAATACTGATAAAATTCACATCACACTTCTCTTTCTGGTAGAGCATAAGCAAAAGTCTGTAGCTGACTTTTCATGATAGGATATAGGGTGAGAGGACACTTGCTCTTACACTCAAGTTCTCAGCCTTTTGTTGCAGATGTAGGTCTAGTCAGTGGCACTCACAGATAGCCCGATCACCTCCGTGAGAAATCTAACTGAATGTACAAAACACAGCTCGCTAGAAAATGAGTAGGCCATGGTGGTCCGATACAAGGTCACTGTAAAAAACCAATTGCATTTTCATACCATAGGAATGCAAATAAAACTACAAGACCATTTAAAATGCCCTTAAGAGCTGGAGATGTGGCTCAGTGGTAGCAGGGCCAAGACCCTGGGTTCAGTCCCCAGCACCACAAAAAATTAATAGATAAGTAAATAAACAAAAATGTAACAGTGTTAAAAACACCAACTGTTCTGGGATAATTGTAATTAATGAAGCACAAGATTTAAAACCTGAAAAACATTTGAGAAAAAATTTTAAAGTTGTAAATAAAGAAGATATATGCTTTATTATGGCTTGGAAGACTCAGTATTGCAAAAATGTAAGTTTTTATCAAATTGATATATATATATTTTTTCAATGAAATCCACACAAAGATTTCAGCAGTCCTTTGTTTTTAAAGAAATTGCCAAGTGGATCCTTAAATCCATACAGAAATACAAAGCGTCAAGATCAGCCAAAACAAGGTTGAATAAAAGGAAGGCCTAGTGTTCCCTGGCTTCACGCTCCAGTAGTTCTGACGAGGGTCTTAGACAGCGAGATCGAAGGAGAACAAACTGGGAGTCCAGAAGCAGACCCACTAGTGGAGGGATGCTGATTTTGAGTAGAGGTGCAGGGCAAGTTCAGGGAGGACAGGGCTGAAGAGGATGACTGGGCGTCCACCTGTGGTCACGTGGATGGATGTCTCGGACACACAGGCTGCACAGGACATCTAGGCATCCACCTGAAGTCCAGTGCAGATCCAGGAGTGCTGTACTGGTGACTGAGAGGCCATCAGCAGCATCATATCTTTAAATATTTTTAAGAAATGGTGAGCGACTCTTGGAAAAAACAAAGATTTAAACCAAACAAAAAAGCAGTCATTTCTCAAAATGGCAGCTGTGGTCCTGAAAAAGTCAGTAAACGTTCAAATTATGCAAAATTATTTATACTTAGAATATCAAATGAAATTAGGTTCCAGGCTGGGATAATTAATAGTGGCTCCTTCAAAATGTAATTCAATGAGGACTTGTTGAGGGATCGAAGGGCAACGGGATTCTGACCTTCACCTCTCAGTGCATGCCTTCTACTTTTGTACATGTTGCTGGAGGCTATGGCAGAAAGGATGAGATGCTTCAGACTTGACTCACTTACTCAGGGATGTTTTACTCTGGGAAATTCAGCTGAATTCCCAAAGCTCTCCAGCCTTATCTTTCCTCTAAGGCACAAGCTGCAGAGGAGAAGCATGGCTGCTGCTGAGCCATAGCTCTGGTACATGGCTCCCTGCAGGGAACCTGCCCTCTCCTCTGCGGGAGACGCCATTCTCTCTTCCTCTCAGAGAAGGCACTTTGGAAACAGCAGTGCACTCCTGAAGGCTGAGTGGTAGACACTGTGGACTATGACATGGCGGTTTTCCTTGTAGAAAGCTTGGCCACATGTGGTCACATGTGGTCCAGGCCTGTCCTCAGTCTTCTCCTGCTGTGAGCCCAGGATCAGTTGCAGTTGTTCATCTGCTTGTGGCAGGAAGTCAGAATCTTTAAAACTCAGTGTGGTTTAAATAAGATTCCTCTGGAATACCAGCTGTCAAATGCATATTAACTATTCTTATTTGGATTATCTTCTGCTCAATCCTGAGAAAGTTGTAAGGACTAATGTCTATATTTCTTTGCCATTTCATTGCTTATGTTAAATTCAATCAAAGAAAATGGTCAGAAATTCTGAGTAATAATTTTTATTCTTGAGGAGTACACTTGTTGCATCTTCTTGGGGTCCATCAATTTTGAAAGCACCAAAAACACCTAGTAAAACCCAAAGCCTCACCACAGTGTGAGATCACACACCTGGCGGCCCAGGGCCCTTGTGCCCAGATGTACAGCTGGGCCACAGGAAGCATTGAGGCAGGGCTGCAAAGCATTTATCTTTATTTTTTATAAACCTTCCATTTCCAAAAAGGATGTAGGTGAGTTAAAGTGGGTTTTATTTGTGGAATGTTTGCTAGAGGTTAAAGAGTACTGCATGCCTGCAAACCTCATAGGGCATTTCCTTGTCTCTAAAGGAAAGTAAGGAGAAAAGCTCATTCCTCCAAGAGGCCCGGGATTCTCCCTGTGTCAGTTTCTCACTTCCCCATTTGTGACACCCCGTGGTCACAAGTCCTTCTCTTTAGAGGTAAGCGGGAAGTGAGGGGCTCGGCAGTATATAGCCTAGCAGCTGGAAGGTCTCCACACCCACGTTCCTGAAGAGAAGGGCTTCCTTCTTGCCTCCTGCTTCAGGGCTCACTCTTCACCAGGTTCTGCTTCTGCTATTGGCCTGTGTCTCCATGTCTCCCTGCTGCTCCCCCCACAGTGAGACCCTCACCTGTGATGACAGGGCACGAAGTGGACCTGTTGGCCAACCCTGCACACAGTGGATGGGAGCATAGAGGTGACACAGGCATGCACAAGTTGGGTCTGTCCAGGTGATCACAGCTCACAGCTGACAGTAGGGTCAGTAGGAATGAGCCTCTGAGAAGCAGTGTGGGAGGCAGCACCCGGGAGAGCCTGCCCACACCACCAGGCATGG